GCTTTGGTCCTCTCTGCAGGGTAACATCAGTTTCTTCTTGTTAACAGACCAAAAACATTTTGGTCATATTCTGGGTTTGACGTAGGTGGTAGTGGGACCAATAAGGAGTAGACATCAGTTTAGGACTTAGTCTAGGGAGGGAGATATGTGTGGCACGCAAGAGGGAGGATTTAAAATCAAACTTGACTTGAGCCGATGTTCAAGTGAACTTGTAAGCCTGGGGCGCACTCATGAGTTATGAAATGGAAGCAAACAGGCCGAAACAGGGAGGAACTACCTGGAGTTTTCCCCAACAAGAAACAGTTGTTTTTCGCTTTCTGTTGCAAAACATTTTGCTACGGTGTACACTAATGAATAAGACCCAGGTTTTGGGGAGAAGTCAGACATGTCATATAAGTGACTAATTGTTGCTCTCAAAATACTGTTGATCCTTTATCAAATGTAGTATTTGTGGTACATTATTACCATACTGCAAAAATATATTGCATATTAAATAAAGGTATAACAAAAGTATCACTCTTGCCCAAGCCCTTGTAAATAACATTGTATAAAAAAAGATTAATAAAAAAAACTAAAAATTAAACTACTTGATGTGTTTGTGCGTATGCTGAGAGAGAGAGAGAGAGAGAGAGAGAGAGAGAGAGAGAGAGAGAGAGAGAGAGAGAGAGAGAGAGAGAGAGAGAGAACAGTCTGCAGCACCCGGCCTCACCCTACTAGAATCTGAAGTCAAATGTCTACTGTTTGCTGACGATCTGGTTCTTCTGTCACCAACCAAGGAGGGCCTACAGCAGCACCCAGATCTTCTACACAGATTCTGTCAGACCTGGGCCCTGACAGTAAATCTCAGTAAGACACAAATAATGGTGTTCCAAAAAAGGTCCAGTTGCCAGGACCATAAATACAAATTCCATCTAGACACCATTGCCCTATAGCACACAAAAAACTATACATACCTCGGCGTAAACATCAGCGCCACAGGTAACTTCCACAAAGCTGTGAACGATCTGAGAGACAAGGCAAGAAGGGCCTTCTATGCCATCAAAAGGAACATAAGATTCGACATACCAATTAGGATCTGGCTAAAAATACTTGAATCAGTTATAGAACCCATTCCCCTTTATGGTTGTGAGGTCTGGGGTCCGCTCACCAACCAAGAATTCACAAAATGGGACAAACACCAAATTGAGACTGCATGCAGAGATATGAACTTGCTGGTCCTGGGGCTCTGTTCACAAACACAAACAACCCCACAGAACCCCAGCACAACAACACAATTAGACCCAACCAAATCATGAGAAAACAAAAAGATAATTACTTGACACATTGGAAAGAATTAACAAAAAAACAGAGCAAGCTAGAATGCTATTTGGCCCTAAACAGAGAGTACACAGTGGCAGAATACCTGACCACTGTGACTGACCCAAACTTAAGGAAAGCTTTGACTATGTACAGACTCAGTGAGCATAGCATTGCTATTGAGAAAGGCCTATTGAGAAAGGCCGCCGTAGGCAGACCTGGCTCTCAAGAGAAGACAGGCTATGTGCACACTGCCCACAAAATGAGGTGGAAACTGAGCTGCACTTCCTAACCTCCTGCCAAATGTATGACCATATTAGAGACACATATTTCCCTCAGATTACAGAGATCCACAAAGAATTCGAAAACAAACCCAATTTTGATAAACTTCCTTATCTACTGGGTGAAATACCACAGTGTGCCATCACAGCAGCAATATTTGTGACCTGTTGCCACAAGAAAAGGGCAACCAGTGAAGAACAAACACCATTGTAAATACAACCCATATTTATGTTTATTTATTTTCCCATTTGTACTTTAACTATTTGCACATTGTTACAACACTGTATATGACATAATATGACATTTGAATGTCTTTATTCTTTTGGAACTTCTGAGTGTAATGTTTATTGTTAATATTTATTGTTTATTTCACTTTTGTTTACTATCTACTTCACTTGCTTTGGCAATGTTAACATATGTTTCCCATGCCATTGAAATTGAATTGAGAGAGAGAGAGGGGTAGAGAGAGAGAGGGGTATAGAGAGAGAGGGTAGAGAGAGAAAGGTAAAGAGAGAGGAGAGAGAGAGGGTAGAGAGAGAGAGGGTAGAGAGAAGAGAGAGAGAGGGTAGAGAGAGAGAGGTAGAGAGAGGAGGGTTAGAGAGAGAGAGAGGTAGAGAGAGAGAGGTAGAGAGAGAGAGAGAGTAAGAGAGAGAGAGAGAGGGAGGAGAGAGGTAGAGAGAGAGAGAGCGGTAGACAGCATGGTATAGTATAACACACACACACATTGTGCTAGCCAACTCCTATCTGTCTAATCATTCATTGTCACACCAAAGAATGTATGGCTGAATGACAGAAGCGTTGGCTACAGCACATAATGCAGTAGTATAGTAGTAAGCTATGATATGGGACCAGGCTATTGAAGTTCAGCCATGGATGGAGAGCGCCCTCCAGTGGTTACTTTTGGAAAGACTACTCTCTCATCTGACTCTTTAAAAACATATATTTCCGATGTATTTTTCTCAGATAGTTATTGCATCATGTCTTGTCTTGTTTCTTTTTTCCTCATCTGATGCCATGCTGGGAAACCACCGAATCCAACCAAGAGCTTGTGGATTGGCAACATTGCTTCATTCCAAATTGACCCCCCCACCCCCTTGTTTATCACCAAAAATAACACATAACTAGCAGATGATTTCAACGGTTTTATTTTGATCATGAAAAACATACAAAAGACATGGGGGAAATATTTGGAAAAAGACAGATTCTAACATATCAGGATATAAGTACTCTGTCTAGTGAACCCTACATCAGGAGGCAAGTAGGTATAATCACACAAAAGGGACAAATGAAGAAGAGACATAACATAAGTGCTTATTGTTGGGATATTACATTCTTCTATGGCAAAACCACATACAATACAAATAAGAATTTAAAAAGGGATGCCAATATCAATCTTCCTCTTAGACTACAGAGCTTCTGCTTCGTCAAAGCAAATAAACAATGCAACAAAACATACAAGACAAAACTTTTCCAAAATAAAAAACAGCAAACCATTTTGAGATTGTCTGTTGTGGGCGGGAGGGGGTAAAGGGTGTGTCTGACTACTATGTAAAACAGCCTGTCCGTTTTATTTGTAATGTAGTCTTTAGTAATGCCCATGCAAAGTATCTGAGGAACAGCATCGGTAGCAGTGAACAAGTTCTGAATATATATACATAGTTCATTTTTTAAATACACAGGAGATATATGTAGGAAAAAATACTGTACAAAAACAAGAATATCTTTGTATAAACAGTAAAACATTTAATATATTAATATATCTTTTCTATACTGTAATATTTTGGTCTGTAGTAAAGAGATATATTAAAAGGTATATTCCACAGTACTGTATAGGCAACATCATTCATTCATTCACCCAACGTAAGGTGTGTTAGTTTGTTATACACAGTAGTAAATCTGTTACATTCATCTCTCATTGGGTCATGGGGAGAGCATCTGTACGGTGTCCATATTAGGACAGTCTCAGCAGGAATCTCAGTAGGACTGAGAAGCTGTCCTAAAATGGACACCGTACACTGTACATCCTACTTACAAGAACCTGTCATGCTTGAGAAAATAAAAATAAAACAATGAAAACTATTGCCTACTGCACAGATGCTGATAACGTTCACATCTGAATGCTTGAACAACAAATAGAAACATGCTAGTTTATGTAAAGACATAAATATAATATCAAATAATAGAAGTCATTACAAATTGGGCATGTGCTGAAATAAAGAGGGCAGTTTCATGCGCGTCTGTGACAGTGGGCTTGGTAGAGAGGAGACCAAGAGCTTACACTGCCTTATTGCTTTAGCTTCCCAAAGTTGTTCTGTACAACAGAGCGATCTGGTGACAAGGAACTAGAAAGAAACCTTTGCTATACATAACACTGCTATAAGAGGAACATGAAGCTGACATCATAGTAGCCTGGCTGCCGGTCTGCCTCACTAAGGCAACAACGTAGAGTTACTTCATGCAGAAACAGTCGGGTACCCAGGTTAGCAGTATGTAGGCATGGGAGAGGTTTTAAAGTGTGAGCAGTGCAGTGATTGTTTACACATTACAAACAGCTTATCTGATGGAGAACAAAACAGAGGGATAAAGTGGGACAGGTTAACATCAGTGGAGACATCTCAACTGACATAACCTACATTTACAGTTTGGAAACCATAGAAAACCAGTACAACCATAAACACAAGATAATTCACAGACAATAAAATATATTATGGATCAAGAGGGAGTGGGAGGAGGGTAGGTAACATAAGATTCAACATACATACATCCTCAGTTGGTAGAGCATGGTGCTTGCAACGCCAGGGTTGTGGGTTCGTTTCCCACAGGGGGCTGTATGAAAATGTATGCACTCACTAACTATAAGTCGCTCTGGATAAGAGCGTCTGCTAAATGACTAAAATGTAAATATTAATAAGAAAATCAAACCCCACAGTAGAAAAAGCCATGAAAAATTTGGAAAATAACACAAAATAGACACTAGCCATGTGTGGACAGATACATTACATCAGACCAAATGAAAAACACACGACCAGAAATAAAATTCAGTTTCTTACTCATAGACTGTACAGAAAGCTACCTGCTTTCCCTCACAAGTGCCAATCTCAGAGAGACATGTATGAGGGTGAGATATATGGTATAGAAAATGAGTAGAAATGTGCTACTGAGCCTAAATCATATTGTCCTTCAATCTCTTGATACGAGTTGTGAGATGGTAGGAGGCAGTTCCTAGGTTGTGTGTGGGTGGGGGCAGTTTTGGGGCAGGGAGGGAGCGGAGGACATGGATCGGGTGGAGGTCTCAGACAGGTGTAAGCTCAGCCACTCAGCCTCATGTTTCAGGGGGTGTTCAGGGATGAATGAGGGCCTGGGCAACAGGGCTGTGTGTCTGTGTGTATGTGTGAGTGTATTCTGTCTCAGTCCCATTACAGAGGTCTGTGTGTGGCCTGGTACTTGGCCACTATGTTCTTGGTACGCCCCAGCTCTCTCCTCAGATCGGCCACCTCCATCCTCAGGGCGGAGTTCTCCTTCTCAAGGAAACCCGCTCGGATGGCGATCTGGTTCTCTTTGAGTCGACGGGCGTCCCGTGACCTCTTGGCAGCCACATTGTTCTTCTTACGCCTCACCCAATACCTGTCATCCTGCACGAGAGGTGCAAGGGAAGAGAGTGGGAGTTAAAAGAGGGGAAATTTACTTAATTATACACTACCGATGAGCAATATGATTATTTAAAAAATAATCACATATTTGATATAATTGTGTTAACTGGACTGGCAGCTTTAGACAACTTTTCATTGACTTATTGCTGTGTTGAAAACAGCTGAACTACAAATCTCAAAAACCGAAGCCAAAAATCAAACACACCCATATGCTAACTGTCAGAGATAGACATCTCCCATTAGAGAATTACCCCATCCTCTCGGTCTGGCAGCTAGTGGAGTTTTCCCATAACCTTTGCATGGCTGCACAATCAGCTTTCAGTCAATTCATTACTGGACTAAAGCCATGCATGGATCCACCTTTATGTGAATACATTATAAAAGGCAAATCCCCTTGGTCTGACAGAGGACAGAGGGAGAGAGAGAGAGAGAGAGAGAGAGAGAGAGAGAGAGAGGAGAGAGAGAGAGAGAGCGAGAGAGAGAGCGAGAGAGAGAGAGAGATTAATCACACAGGGCGTTCTTGGGATGAATGCAAGACCAGCTAAGCCTCTTTTCTGGACCACAGATCTGGACCACAGATCTGACCAATGGGAAGGGTGCAAATAGGGTCAGGCTCAGATGAGAGCTGATGGAAGCAGCTAGTGAGAAGAGAGAGAGAGAGACAGAGACAGAGACAGAGACAGAGACAGAGACAGAGAGAGAGAGAGAGAGAGAGAGAGAGAGAGAGAGAGAGAGAGAGAGAGAGAGAGAGAGAGAGACAGAGAGACAGAGAGAGACAGAGAGAGAGAGAGAGAGAGAGAGAGAGAGAGAGCAGTGTGGTGGAGAAACCAAACTATAATCAGTGTTAACGGCTCTGTGTGTACACGCTTTGGTCTACTACACTAACTACATGCTATTAACTACATGCTATGGTCCACTACACTAACTACATGCTACGGTCTACTACACACTATGGTCTACTACACTAACTACACGCTATGGTCTACTACACTAACTACACACTATGGTATACTAACTAACTACATGCTATGGTCTACTAACTAACTACATGCTATGGTCTACTACACTAACTACAATATATAGTCTACTACACTAACTACATGCTATGGTCTACTAACTAACTACATGCTATGGTCCACTACACTAACTACATGCTACGGTCTACTACACACTATGGTCTACTACACTAACTACATGCTATGGTCTACTACACTAACTACACGCTATGGTCTATTACACTAACTACATGCTATGGTCTACTAACTAACTACATGCTATGGTCTACTAACTAACTACATGCTATGGTCCACTACACTAACTACATGCTATAGTCTACTAACTAACTACATGCTATGGTCTACTACACTAACTACATGCTATAGTCTACTACACTAACTACATGCTATGGTCTACTAACTAACTACATGCTATGGTCCACTACACTAACTACATGCTATGGTCTACTACACACTATGGTCTACTACATTAACTACATGCTGTGGTCTACTACACTAACTACACACTATGGTCCACTACACTAACTACAATATATAGTCTACTACACTAACTACATGCTATGGTCTACTACATTAACTACATGCTGTGGTCTACTACACTAACTACACACTATGGTCCACTACACTAACTACACGCTATGGTCTACTAAACTAACTACATGCTATGGTCTACTACACTTACTACACGCTGTGGTCTGCTACACTAACTACACGCTATGGTCTACTACATTAACTACACGCTATGGTCTACTACACTTACTACACGCTGTGGTCTGCTACACTAACTACACGCTGTGGTCTACTACACTAACTACACACTGTGGTCTACTACACTAACTACACACTGTGGTCTACTACACTAACTACATGCTATGGTCTGCTACACTAACTACACGCTGTGGGCTGCTACACTAACTACACGCTGTGGTCTGCTACACTAACTACACGCTGTGGTCTACTACACTAACTACATGCTGTGGTCTACTACACTAACTACACGCTGTGGTTTACTACACTAACTACACGCTATGGTCTACTACACTAACAACAATATATGGTCTACTACACTAACTACATGCTATGGTCTACTACACTAACTACACGCTATGGTCTACTAACTAACGACATGCTATGGTCTACTACACTAACTACATGCTATGGTCTACTACACTAACTACATGCTGTGGTCTACTACACTAACTACAATATATAGTCTACTACACTAACTACATGCTATGGTCTACTACACTAACTACACGCTGTGGTCTACTACACTAACTACACGCTATGGTCTACTACACTAACTACACGCTGTGGTCTACTACACTAACTACATGCTATGGTCTACTACACTAACTACATGCTATGGTCTACTAAACTAACTACATGCTATGGTCCACTACACTAACTACATGCTATGGTTTACTACACTAACTACATGCTATGGTTCACTACACTAACTACATGCTATGGTCTACTACACTAACTACATGCTATGGTCTACTACACTAACTACACGCTATGGTCCACTACACTAACTACACGCTATGGTCCACTACACTAACTACATGCTATGGTCTACTACACTAACTACACACTGTGGTCTACTACACTAACTACACGCTGTGGTCTACTACACTAACTACATGCTATTGTCTGCTACACTAACTACACGCTGTGGTCTGCTACACTAACTACACGCTGTGGTCTACTACACTAACTACACTAACTACACACTGTGGTCTACTACACTAACTACACGCTATGATCTACTACACTAACTACAAGCTGTGGTCTATTACACTAACTACACACTGTGGTCTACTACACTAACTACACGCTATGGTCTACTACACTAACAACAATATATGGTCTGCTACACTAACTACACGCTGTGGTCTACTACACTAACTACACGCTATGGTCTAGTAACTAACTACATGCTATGGTCTACTACACTAACTACATGCTATGGTCTACTACACTAACTACATGCTATGGTCTACTACACTAACTACATGCTATGGTCTACTACACTAACTACATGCTATGATCTACTACACTAACTACATGCTGTGGTCTACTACACTAACTACATGCTGTGGTCTACTACACTAACTACACGCTGTGGTCTACTACACTAACTACACGCGGTGGTCTACTACACGCTATGGTCTACTACACTAACTACATGCTATGGTCTACTACACTAACTACATGCTATGGTCTACTACACTAACTACATGCTATGGTCTACTAACTAACTACACGCTATGGTCTACTACACTAACTACATGCTATGGTCTACCCCACTAACTACATGCTATGGTCTATTAAACTAACTACACGCTATGGTCTACTAACTAACTACATGCTATGGTCTACTACACTAACTACATGCTATGGTCTACTACACTAACTACATGCTATGGTCTACTACACTAACTACATGCTATGGTCTACTACACTAACTACATGCTATGGTCTACTACACTAACTACATGCTGTGGTCTACTACACTAACTACATGCTGTGGTCTACTACACTAACTACACGCTATGGTCTACTACACTAACTACATGCTATGGTCTACTAACTAACTACATGCTATGGTCTACTACACTAACTACATGCTATGGTCTACTACACTAACTACATGCTATGGTCTACTACACTAACTACATAATATGGTCTACTAAACTAACTACATGCTATGGTCTACTACATTAACTACACGCTATGGTCTACTACACTTACTACACGCTGTGGTCTGCTACACTAACTACACGCTGTGGTCTACTACACTAACTACACACTGGTCTACTACACTAACTACACACTGTGGTCTACTACACTAACTACATGCTATGGTCTGCTACACTAACTACACGCTGTGGTCTGCTACACTAACTACACGCTGTGGTCTACTACACTAACTACACGCTATGGTCTACTACACTAACTACACGCTGTGGTCTACTACACTAACTACACGCTATGGTCTACTACACTAACAACAATATATGGTCTACTACACTAACTACATGCTATGGTCTACTACACTAACTACATGCTATGGTCTACTACACTAACTACACGCTGTGGTCTACTACACTAACTACATGCTATTGTCTGCTACACTAACTACACGCTGTGGTCTACTACACTAACTACACTAACTACACGCTGTGGTCTACTACACTAACTACATGCTATGGTCTACTACACTAACTACATGCTATGGTCTACTACACTAACTACACACTGTGGTCTACTACACTAACTACATGCTATTGTCTGCTACACTAACTACACGCTGTGGTCTGCTACACTAACTACACGCTGTGGTCTACTACACTAACTACACTAACTACACGCTGTGGTCTACTACACTAACTACACGCTATGGTCTACTACACTAACAACAATATATGGTCTGCTACACTAACTCCACGCTGTGGTCTCCTACACTAACTACACGCTATGGTCTACTACACTAACAACAATATATGGTCTACTACACTAACTACATGCTATGGTCTACTACACTAACTACATGCTATGGTCTACTACACTAACTACACGCTGTGGTCTACTACACTAACTACATGCTATTGTCTGCTACACTAACTACACGCTGTGGTCTGCTACACTACCTACACGCTGTGGTCTACTACACTAACTACACTAACTACACGCTGTGGTCTACTACACTAACTACATGCTATGGTCTACTACACTAACTACACGCTGTGGTCTACTACACTAACTACATACTATTGTCTGCTACACTAACTACACACTGTGGTCTGCTACACTAACTACACGCTGTGGTCTACTACACTAACTACACTAACTACACGCTGTGGTCTACTATACTAACTACACACTATGATCTACTATATTAACTACACGCTGTGGTCTACTACACTAACTACACGCTATGGTCTACTACACTAACTACATGCTATGGTCTACTACACTAACTACATGCTATGGTCTACTACACTAACTACATGCTATGGTCTACTACATTAACTACATGCTGTGGTCTACTACACTAACTACATGCTATGGTCTACTACACTAACTACATGATGTGGTCTACTACACTAACTACACGCGGTGGTCTACTACACTAACTACATGCTATGGTCTACTACACGCTATGGTCTGCTACAATAACTACATGCTGTGGTCTGCTACAATAACTACATGCTGTGGTCTACTACACTAACTACACTAACTACATGCTATGGTCTACTACACTAACTACACGCTATGGTCTACTACACTAACTACACGCTGTGGTCTACTACACTAACTACACGCTATGGTCTACTACACTAACTACACGCTATGGTCTGCTACAATAACTACATGCTGTGGTCTACTACACTAACTACACTAACTACATGCTGTGGTCTACTACAATAACTACATGCTATGGTCTACTACACTAACTACACGCTATGGTCTACTACACGCTGTGGTCTACTACACTAACTACACGCTATGGTCTACTACATGGTCTACTACACTAACAACAATATATGGTCTACTACACTAACTACATGCTATGGTCTACTACACTAACTACATGCTATGGTCTACTACACTAACTACACGCTGTGGTCTACTACACTAACTACACGCTATGGTCTACTACACTAACAACAATATATGGTCTACTACACTAACTACATGCTATGGTCTACTACACTAACTACACGCTGTGGTCTACTACACTAACTACATGCTATTGTCTGCTACACTAACTACACGCTGTGGTCTACTACACTAACTACACTAACTACACGCTGTGGTCTACTACACTAACTACATGCTATGGTCTGCTACACTAACTACACGCTGTGGTCTACTACACTAACTACACTAACTACACGCTGTGGTCTACTACACTAACTACACACTGTGGTCTACTACACTAACTACATGCTATTGTCTGCTACACTAACTACACGCTGTGGTCTACTACACTAACTACACTAACTACACGCTGTGGTCTACTACACTAACTACACACTATGGTCTACTACACTAACTACACACTATGATCTACTATATTAACTACACGCTGTGGTCTACTACACTAACTACAATATATGGTCTGCTACACTAACTACACGCTATGGTCTACTACACTAACAACAATATATGGTCTACTACACTAACTACATGCTATGGTCTACTACACTAACTACATGCTATGGTCTACTACACTAACTACATGCTATGGTCTACTACACTAACTACACGCTGTGGTCTACTACACTAACTACATGCTATTGTCTGCTACACTAACTACACACTGTGGTCTGCTACACTAACTACACGCTGTGGTCTGCTACACTACCTACACGCTGTGGTCTACTACACTAACTACACTAACTACACGCTGTGGTCTACTACACTAACTACATGCTATGGTCTACTACACTAACTACACGCTGTGGTCTACTACACTAACTACATGCTATGGTCTACTACACTAACTACACACTGTGGTCTGCTACAATAACTACATGCCGTGGTCTACTACAATAACTACATGCTGTGGTCTACTACAATAACTACATACTATGGTCTACTACACCCACTGTGATTATTATCTATGAATAATCTATTCATCAATAATAGAAGATGGCCGGATATACCCGTTTCATAGTCAGGGATGACACAGCGCTAAACAATCTGATAGATTAGTAGATGTGACACACACACAGAGACACACACACGTACACACAGAGAGACACACACAGAGAGACACACACAGAGAGACACACAGAGAGACACACAGAGAGACACACACAGAGAGACACACAGAGAGACACACACACAGAGACACACAGAGAGACACACACACAGAGACACACACACGTACACACAGAGAGACACACACAGAGAGACACACACACAGAGACACACATACATACCTTCATGTCGTCGGGGAATAACACCTTGCGGGCCTTCTTGAACATGGGCTGTGGTTTGAGCTCCTCGGGGGCGAACTTGCGTTTACGGGGGTCGAACATATCCTGCCCAGGTACACTGGACAAAACCAAGTCAGCAGGGTCAGGCACATAGCTCACTGGCACCTGGATGGACTCTGGGTCGATGGGGCTGGGAGTGTTTCTGGACGGCAGGGCTGGTGAGGGGGAGTAGGAGGACAGTAGGAAGTTAGATACATGGAAGTAGGCTATAGAAATGTATTTGATAGAATTACAGAAATGACCACTACATATTTTGGGGGGTTGGTGGTTTGGCGCACTATTCTCAAAACATTCATGATAAAAGTTCAACTTGAGCAAAATCAATGTGACAAGTTGAAAGTAGTGCATTTTTATTCATAGCACCATAAATAGTTCCATTGTTATTATAATGTATCCAGTAGTAGTGACAAACTGCGGCCACCGGGGGGCACAAGACACAAAGCTAACACACAACCTAAAAGTTTGCCAGTCTGTGAAACCTCAACTTCTTCCACCTCCAATTCCCATCCAGAATAAACTCTGAACCAACTACTGGACAGAAGCACATTGGTTTTGAAAATGGTTATGTGGACAGGACTTATATTATAAGTCTGTATCCACCGGTCTCTGACCGCTGTCCTTACATAAGCATTATGCATGTAAGTATGTATTTGCATTGAGTGGCTTGAGGCTGGAGACCAGCTGGTGTGAGATGGGAGAAAGTGCCAGAGGCCCTGCTCCTTTTCAGCGTTCAAATGACATCTCAACCTCAATCTGAACCTGGCGTGACGACTAGGCCCTTCTCTAACCTGAGCCGAGGTATAATAGTTATAAAGAGAACACTCTTCCTAGTGTCCTGTCCAGGGGGTGTACTTGTACATCAAGCTGCCTCACACTACAGAAACAGGAGATAGGCTCCTGCCCCTATGGGCTGTTCTGGCTCGGACTGGGCTTATTTGTCCAAGGCTTACATACTTACTTAACTAACCTCGTCCCCAGGCTCAATTGATACCAGAGAGAGAGAGAGAGAGAGACAGCTGGTGGACGAGATTAATTACACTGATGCTGCCTGAGACATATACAGTACATTCGGAAAGTATTCAGACCCCTTGCCTTTTTCAACATTTTGTTAAGTTACAGCCTTTTCTAAAATTGATTAAATTGTTTTTTTTGCCTTATCAATCTACACAATACCCCATAATGACAAACCAAAAACAGGTTTTTAGAATGTTTTGCAAATTAATACCCCCCCAACATTTTTTTTCAAATATCACATTTACATAAGTATTCAGACCCTTTACTCAGTACTTTGTTGAAGCACCTTTGGCAGCGATTACAGCCTTGAGTCTTATTTGGTATGACGCTACAAGCGCACCTGTATTTGGGGAGTTTCTCCCATTCTTCTCTGCAGATCCTCTCAAGCTCTGTCAGGTTGGATGGGGAGCGTCGCTGCACAGCTATTTTCAGGTCTCTCCAGAGATGTTCGATCGGGTTCAAGTCCGGGCTCTGGCTGGGTCCACTCAAGGACATTCAGAGACTTGTCCCGAAGCCACTCCTGCGTTGTTTTGGCTGTGTGCTTAGGGTCGTTATCCAGTTGGAAGTTGAACCTTCACCTCAGTCAGAGGTCCTGAGCGCTCTGGAACAGGTTTTCATCAAGGATCTCTCTGTACTTTGCTCTGTTAATCTTTCCCTCGATCCTGACTAGTCTCCCAGTCCCTGCTGCTGAACAACATCCCCACAGCATGATGCTGCCACCACCATGCTTCACCGTAGGGATGGTGCCAGGTTTCCTCCAGATGTGACACTAGGCATTCAGGCCAAAGAGTTCAATCTTGGTTTCATCAGACCAGAGAATCTTGTTTCTCATGGTCTGAGAGTCCTTTAGGTGCCATTTTTGCAAGCTCCAAGTGGGCTGTCATGTGCCTTTTACTGAGGAGTGGCTTCCGTCTGGTCACTCTACTGCTGCAGAGATGGTTGTCCTTCTGGAAGGTTCTCCCATCTCCACAGAGGAACTCTGGAGCTCTGTCAGAGTGACCATCGGGTTCTTGGTCACCTCCCCGACCAAGGCCCTTCTCCCCCGATTGTTCAGCAGGCCAGCTCTAGGAAGAGTCTTGGTGGTTCCAAACTTCTTCCATTTAAGAATGATGGAGGCCACTGTGTTCTTGGGGACCTTCAATGCTGCAGACATTTTTTTGGTACCCTTCCCCAGATTTGTGCCTCGACACAATCCTGTCTCGGAGCTCTACGGACAATTCCATCGACCTCATGGTATTTGCTCTGACATGCACTGTCAACTGTGGGACCTTATATAGACAGGTGTGTGCCTTTCCAAATCATGTCCAATCAATATAATTTACCACAGGTGGACTCCAATCAAGTTGTAGAAACATCTTAAGGATGATCAATGGAAACACGATGCACCTGAGCTCAATTTCAAGTCTCATAGCAAAGGGTCTGAATACTTATGTAAATTAGGTATTTATTTTTGTAAATTTTATTTTTATTGTAAAAACCTGTTTTCACTTTGTCATTATGGGTATTGTGTGTAGATTGATGAGGGATTTTCTTTTTATTCTCCATTTTAGAATAAGGCTGTAACATAACAAAATGCGGAAAAAGTGAAGGGGTCTGAATACTTTCGGAATGCACTGTAGATAGATCTATACGTAGCTCAGCTCAGCTATACTGGGATGTACAGAAAGATTTGACCTCCAGCCCCAAGGTGAAGATTTCACAAATCAAGAGAAGGCAACTTATGTTTATTAGAACTGAGTGTGTATAGCACCTGCTAATCAACACCTGCCCCTCAGAACCTGCTAATCAGCAGCTGCCTCTCACAACCTGCTAATCAACACCTGCCTCTCAGAACCTGCTAATCAGCAGCTGCCTCTCAGAACCTGCTAATCAACACCTGCCTCTCAGAACCTGCTAATCAACACCTGCCTCTCAGAACCTGCTAATCAACAGCTGCCTCTCAGAACCTGCTAATCAACACATGCCTCTCAGAACCTGCTAATCAACAGCTGCCTCTCAGAACAGAAGTACTTCAAATGAGTGAGTCTTGAACAGAACATTACACTAATTAGCTGAAGTGATGTACAGAGAGAGATTTGACCTCCAGGGTTAAGATTGAACTTAAATTAAGACAAGGCAATCTATGCTTTTCAGAAGTGTCTAACACCTGCCTATCAGAACAGAAGTGCTTCAGATTAGTGACTAATGAACAGAACAGTACACTAATTAGTTGAGTTAGTGGGGTCACAGCCAGGGTCTGCCATTATCAACGGAGAGCCTGGAACAATTAGGGTTAAGTGCCTTGCTCAAGGGCACATCGGCAGATGTTTCACCTTGTCGGCTAGAGGATTCAAACATGCAATCTTTCAGTTAGGGGCATAGACAGAGGAAACACACAAACACACACACTCAATACCATTATCCCAGAAACCCTAGACCCACTCCAATTTGCATACCGCCCCAACAGATCCACAGATGATGCAATCTCTATTGCACTCCACACTACCCTTTCCCACCTGGACAAAAGGAACACCTACGTGAGAATGCTATTCATTGACTACAGCTCAGCGTTCAACACCATAGTGCCCTCAAAGCTCATAACTAAAAAAGGACCCTGGGATTAAACACCTCCCTCTGCAACTGGATCCTGGACTTCCTGACGGGCCACCCCCAGGTGGTAAGGGTAGGTAACAACACATCTGGCACGCTGATCCTCATCACGGGGGCCCCACAGGGGTGCGTGCTCAGTCCTGTACTCCCTGTTCACCCATGACTGCATGGCCAGGCACGACTCCAACACCATCATTATGTTTGCAGACGACACAACAGTGGTAGGCCTGATCACCGACAACGATGAGACAGCCTATAGGGAGGAGGTCAGAGACCTGGCGTGTGGTGCCAGGATAACAACCTCTCCCTCAATGTGATCAAGACAAAGGAGATGATTGTGGACTGCAGGAAAAATAAGAGGACCGAGCACGCCCCCATTCTCATCGACGGGGCTGTAGTGGAGCAGGTTAGAGCTTCAAGTTCCTTGGTGTCCACATCACCAACCATCTATCATGGTCCAAACACACCAAGACAGTCGTGAAGAGGGCACGACAAAGCCTATTCCCCCTCAGGAGACTGAAAAGATTTGGCATGGGTCCTCAGATCCTCAAAAAGTTATACAGCTGCACCATCGAGAGCACCCTGACTGGTTGCATCACTGCCTGGTATGGCAACTGCTTGGCCTCCGACCGCAAGGCACTACAGAGGGTTGTGCATACGGCCCAGTACATCACTGGGGCCAAGCTTCCTGCCATCCAGGACCTCTATACCAGAGGGCCACCCTAGTCATAGAATGTTCTCTCTGCTACCGCACAGCAGGCGGTACCGGGGTGCCAGGTCTAGGTCCAAAAGGCTTCTTAACAGCTGTGTACTACTCCATTCACAGAACAGGGCAAATTGGCTCTAACCAGAATAGAAAGAGGAGTGGGAGGCGCCGGTGCACAACTGAGCAAGAGGACAAATACATTAGAGTGTCTAGTTTGAGAAACAGGCACCTCACAGGTCCTCAACTGGAAGCTTCATTAAATAGTGAAGAGGTGACTCTGGGATGCTGACCTTCTAGGCAGAGTTGCAAAGAAAAAGCAATTTCTCAGACTGCCCATCTTAATCTTTTCTTTTTATTGGCCAGTCTGAGCTTTTTCTTTGCGCTGTTCTGTGAAGGGAGTAGTACACAGTGTTGTACGAGATCTTCAGTTTCTTGGCAATTTCTTGCATGGAATAGCCTTCATATCTCAGAACAAGAATAGACTGACGAGTTTCAGAAGAAAGTTATTTGTTTCTGGCCATTTTGAGCCTGTAATCGAACCCATAATTGCTGATGCTCCAGATACTCAACTAGTCTCAAGAAGGCCAGTTTTATTGCTTCTTTAATCAACACAACAGTTTTCAGCTGTGCTAACATAATTGCAAAAGGGTTTTCTAATTATCAATTAGCCTTTTAAAATGATAAACTTGGATTAGCAACACAACGTGCCATTGGAACACAGGACTGATGGTTGCTGATAATGGGCCTCTGTACGCCTATGTAGATATTCCATTAAAAATCAGCCGTTTTGAGCTACAATAGCCATTTACAACATTAACAATGTCTACACTGTATTTCTGATCAATTTGATGTTATTTTAATGGACAAAAAAATTGCTTTTCTTTCGAAAACAAGGACATTTCTAAGTGACCCAAAACTTTTGAACGGTAGTGTACTTATTACCTCAATTACCTCGACTAACTTGTGCCCCCGCACATTGACTCTGTACCGGTACCCCCTGTATATAGCCTCACTACTGTTATTTTACTGCTGCTCTTTAATTATTTGTTATTTACATTTTTTACTTATCTATTTTTTACTTAACACTTATTTTTCTTAAAACTACATTGTCGGTTAAGGGCTTGTAAGTAAGCATTTCACTGTAAGGTCTACACCTGTTGTATTCGGCTGTCACGGATTCAGCCGAGGCTGCTCCTCCTCCTTGCTCGGGTAGGCTTCGGCGTTCGTCGTCCCCGGAGTACTAGCTGCTGCCGATCTATGTTTCGGTGTTTGTCTTGTTTGGTCTTTATTGTTTACACCTGTTTCCCATTATGTTTTATTGTGTTCCCTTTATAACCCTCTGTTTCTCATTGTGTATTGTGCGTAATTGTTTTGGTCTTTTCGGCAGTTGCCCATGTGTGCGGGTTGTATCGTTCCTCTCTGTATGAGGTTGCCTTTGTACTTTGGATTTGCACTGTATCCAGTAAAGTATCTGCCAGTACCTCGGTGTCCTGCTCTTGACTTCGCCTACCGCATACACGTCGCTTTGACATCGGCGCATGTGACAAATACAATTTTATTTTATTTGACTCACAGGTCACGCCGTCACAACATTTGAATTTCACACTTTTTCCATTCTGGGTTTGAGGCCTCTTCTAAGAAACCTAATAAAGTAGTCCTACTCTATTCTTACGGAGCTGTGGTTGATATTGTATTATATGAGCTAGAAGTGTCTTTCAGATGTCTACTGTACAGACAATCAGAGGATGTGGGTCTTATCCTTTTTTCCCTGTGTGTGTTGATGTGTGTGTGTGTGTGTGTGTGTGTGTGTGTGTGTGTGTGTGTGTGTGTGTGTGTGTGTGTGTGTGTGTGTGTGTGTGTGTTTTTTACACACCTGCTCTGGTAAGGCTAGGGAGACAGTTCTGTGCGCCCATGCTTGTGTGTACCGACGTCGAAGCGCTGGCATGGTTGCTAAGGTCGATCACAGAGGGCGACGGAGTGGGCAGGGCTTGTGACATGATTGAAGTCTGGTGCTGGGACTGTGATTGGTGCTGGTCGTGGTGGGTGGAGACGGCGAGTTCAGAGGGAAGGCCGTTTTCCGACAGGAACTCGTCCAGATCCATGTACTCCAGCTGGAAGTTGTCTCCATCGTAGGGGAGAGTCTTGTTCCACAGCGTGGGCCCCAGGAAGGCTGACTGTGGGGCACTCCTCTCCTCATCCAAATTCTTCTCCTTCTCTCGCTCCTTCTCAAATCCTAAAGTGGACATTGGGGGGGGGGGGGGTCCACAGTTAGTACCAAGACACCGAAAAAACTACGCTCATCTATACAGACAATGGTAGCGCTTTACTTTAAGGTACAGAAATTTGATTACAGCAGAAACAGTACTGTAAAATAATGTGCTGCACAATCGTGAGGCTTGTAAGCTGGTATTGAATGTGCAGTATCTATTTATTGTATCTGTTTTTTGGGGAGACTAAAGTATCCTCTATGTATGGTATGCAGCGGCTCATATTCAGGGTTAACTGGTTTGGATAACTGGTTTTTGAGGAGCAAAAAACCTGATATTCAGACGTGAACCCCTATACCTGCTTTGATAACGTTACTTCATAGCAATATCTATTGCTACATCCCTATCACTCAAAGTATCATACTTTCAATCAATAAAACCACTGCATCAACATACATCACTGATAGTGATAGTCACTGTGCTAGCTATATAATTAAATACATTAATTTAGGAATAATAAGTGGTAGTTAATTGCTAGCTAATGAATTTGTCAAGTGTTGTCAGGTGACTAATATCAGAAAACTTAGCTACGGTAGGCCTACTGGTAGAGCTGGTTTGGGCACATACAGACAGGCACACAAGTATATGGTAACTTTATATGAACTATATCTATATGCCTGTATTTCGTTAGGTAAGGACACTGAAGCAAATCATTATCAATTTGATCGATGATTTCTAAAATTAATGTTGGCTATAGGCCTTTAGAGTATATTTCAAAATGCATTCTTTACGCTATTTACCTGGAGCAAAGCGAGTTCATAGATACAAGTAGCTAATCCTATAAATAAACTATACAATACATAAATAAACAACGTAAATAAACAAATTGTCTCTATAACAATAAAGACAATTTAAGTTTGAGATAAGTAATTATATATTCTAGAAAATAATAGAAAGCAATAGAATAGAACAGAGTAAAATAAAAACGTAGGCTATTTCTTACCTTCATGTTGTTGTTCATGTTGTTGGAGGAGGGGTAGCTTCATGGGGTTCTCCAGTAGAGACTTCAATACGCAGTGATTCGACGTAGGTAGAAACCTTGGATTCACCCGGAGATGTCTGGACACTATTTTATCCATCTCGTCTTCCTTCAGCTGTCAAAAAAAAATCCTTCAGCTGTCAAAAAAATCACTAAACCTGGTCCTGGGTTATTATTGCTTGCAGGTAGGCTAATACAAAATACTAAACATTCAAGTGTATCGAAAAAATAAATCGAAATCACAGGTCAATTTCGACCCCAACAACTGCGGATATATCGAGAAATAAAACCCAGTGGGAAGATTGCGTGCAAAGCTGCTTCCAGTGCCACCCGCTATTCCAATAGCGCTGTCGTCTACAGTAGAAGGCAGAGATAGCCTCGTCCCGTTCACCCATTCATACCATGTGAAAACTGAGGTATGTGACGTCAAACCCTGAGATACCGCCTCTCTCTCTCTCTCTCTCTCTCTCTCTCTCTCTCTCCACTCTCTCCATCCATCCATCTCTCTCTCTCTCTCTCTCTCTCTCTCTCTCTCTCTCTCTCTCTCTCTCTCTCAAATTGAATTGAATTGAATTGAATTGAATTAAAGGGCTTTATTGGCATGGGAAACGTATGTTAACATTGCCAAGGCAAGTGAAGTAGATAGTAAACAAAAGTGAAATAAACAATAAATGTTAACAATAAACATTACACTCAGAAGTTACAAAAGAGTAAAGACATTTCAAATGTCATATTATGTCTATATACAGTGTTGTAACAATGTGCAAATAGTTAAAGTACAAATGGGAAAATAAATATGGGTTGAATTTACAAAGATGTTTGTTCTTCACTGGTTGCCCTTTTTTTGTGGCAACAGGTCACAAATCTTGCAGCTGTGATGGCACACTGTGGTTTTTCACCCAGTAGATAAGGGAGTTTATCAAAATTGGGTTTGTTTTCAAATTCTTTGTGGATCGCTGTAATCTGAGGGAAATATGTGTCTCTAATATGGTCATACATTTGGCAGGAGGTTTGGAAGTGCAGCTCAGTTTCCACCTCATTTTGTGGGCAGTGTGCACATAGCCTGTCTTCTCTTGAGAGCCAGGTCTGCCTACGGCGGCCTTTCTCAATAGCAAGGCTATGCTCACTGAGTCTGTACATAGTCAAAGCTTTCCTTAAGTTTGGGTCAGTCACAGTGGTCAGGTATTCTGCCACTGTGTACTCTCTGTTTAGGGCCAAATAGCATTCTAGTTGCTCTGTTTTTTTGTTTGTTCTTTCCAATGTGTCAAGTAATTCTCTTTTTGTTTTCTCGTGATTTGGTTGGGTCTAATTGTGTTGTTGTTGTTGTCCTGGGGCTCTGTGGGGTCTGTTTGTGTTTGTGAACAGAGCCCCAGGACCAGCTTACTTAGGGGACTGTTCTCCAAGTTCATCTCTCTGTAGGTGATAGCTTTGTTATGGAAGGTTTGGGAATCGCCTCCTTTTAAGTGGTTATAGAATTTAACAGCTCTTTTCTGGATTTTGATAATTAGCGGGTATTGGCCTAATTCTGCTCTGCATGCATTATTTGGTGTTTTTCGTTGTACACTGAGGATATTTTTGAAGAATTCTGCATGCAGTCTCAATTTGGTGTTTGTCCCATTTTGTGAATTCTTGGTTGGTGAGCGGACCCCAGAACCATAAAGGGCAATGGGTTCTATAACTGATTCAAGTATCTCTCTCTCTCTCTCTCTCTCTCTCTCTCTCTCTCTCTCTCTCTCTCTCTCTCTCTCTCTCTCTCTCTCTCTCTCTCTCTCTCTCAATTAGGCTATTTTACTGACGGAAGGAGGATAAATAGCCTATCAACGACACTGTTTCTATATAGCCCATCGCGTTTCAGACTAATTCGTATGGAAGTTACCTACTAGATTAGAATAGACCTAGTCCTAGGCCCTACAGACTATAATTTCTCGAATTTAAATCCTGTCAAAAGGAGTTCAGAGAAGCCGACAAAGTAGGGCTATTTATCACTTGAATGTGCAGAGGGAGTAATAAGCTATTGGCATAATATCAGAGATTGTGTGTACACTTTAATTACATTATGTAGGCCTTCAATGGCGTTGTTCAAAATAGATGCAAGGTGCGTTAGTTTTGAATCCACTGTTCTCAATATGAGAAGCTCGTCCTCATATGTGAAACACGTGACAAATTTCACTAAAGTAAGGCAACCATTTTTTCCCCACATACAGTACCAGTCAACAGTTTGGACACACCTACACATTCAAGGGTTTTTCTTTAGTTTTACTATTTTCTACATTGTAGAATAATAGTGAAGACATCAAAACTATGAAATGACACATATGGAATCATTTGTTTTCCAAGAAAGTGTTAAACAAATCAAAATATATTTTAGATTTTAGATTCTTCAAAGTAGCAACCCTTTGCCTTGATGACAGCTTTGTACACTCTTGGCATTCTCTCAACCAGCTTCACCTGGAATGCTTTTCCAACAGTCTTGAAGGAGTTCCCAAATATGCTGAGCACTTCTTGGCTGCTTTTCCTTCACTCTGCGGTCCAACTCATCCAAAACAATCTCAATTGGGTTGAGGTCAGGGGATTGTGGAGGCCAGGTCATCTGATGCAGCACTCCATCACTCTCCTTCTTGGTAAAATAGCCCTTACACAGCCTGGAGGTGTGTTGGGTCATTGTCCTGTTGAAAAACAAATGATAGTCCCACTAAGCGCAAACCAGATGGGATGGCGTATCGCTGCAGAACGCTGTGGTAGTCATGCTGGTTAAGAGTGCCTTGAATTCTAAATAAATCACTGACAGTGTCACCAGCAAAGCACCCCCACACCATCACACCTCCTCCTCCATGCTTTACGGTGGGAACCACACATGCGGAGATCATCCGTTCACCTGCGTCTCACAAAGACACAGCAGTTGGAACCAAAAATCTCAAATTTGGACTCATCAGACCAAAGGACAGATTTCCACCAGTCTAATGTCCATTGCTCGTGTTTCTTGGCCCAAGCAAGTCTCTTCTTCTTATTGGTGTCATTTAGTAGTGGTTTCTTTGCAGCAATTCGACCATGAAGGCCTGATTCACGTAGTCTCCTCTGAACAGTTTATGTTGAGATGTGTCTGTTCCTTGAACTCTGTGAAGCATTTATTTGGGCTGCAATTTCTAAGGCTGGTAACTCTAATGAACTTATCCTCTGCAGCAGAGTTAACTCTGTGTCTTCCTTTCCTGTGGCGGTCCTCATGAGAGCCAGTTTCATCATAGCGCTTGATGGTTTTTGCGGCAGCACTTGAAGAAACGTTCAAAGTTCTTGAAATTTTCCAGATTGACTGAAAGTAATGATGGACTGTCATTTCTCCTTTCTTATTTGAGCTGTTCTTGCCATAATATGGACTTGATCTTTTACCAAATAGGGCTATCTTCTGTATACCACCCCTACCTTGTCACAACACAACTTGATTGGCTCAAACGCATTAAGGAAAGAAATTCCACAAATTAACTTTTAAGAAGGCACACCTGTTAATTGAAATGCATTCCAGGTGACTACCTCATGAAGCTGGTTGAGAGAATGCCAAGAGTGTTCAAAGCTGTCATCAAGGCAAAGGGTGGCTACTTTGAAGAATCTCAAATATAAAATATATGTGTTATTTCATAGTTTTGATGTCTTCACTATTATTCTACAATGTAGAATAATAGTAAAAATAAAGAAAAACCTTGAATGAGTAGGTGTGTCCAAACTTTTGACTGGTACTGTACATACATACATGGACTAATTGCATATTGAGGCAAACGAAAATCACTGTAGTCATGTTCCAAGCGAGGAACTATGAGAACACTTTTTTTTGTGAGAGGGCTTTATTTGACAGAGTGCTTTTTCGTCTGTCACGCTTTGAGCGCACGGACCAAACCCTTTCACCCTTAGCCTAGAAAAGTGTGGATGGAATGATGGGTCACGTTAGTGGGCGCGGTTGACCTACTTTTGTCCAATAGCTGAGCGAGATATCCTGCGCTCGCTGCTCACCCCCTCCTAGGCGGTTCTCACATTGAACCTCATGTGCTTTCACCAGGGAGAAAACAACTCAATCTAACACACAGTAGCCTACTGGGGAAGAAAAAGCTCCTGTACTCTTTGTACAAATGAAACAAGCCGTTTAGGCCAACAAAGTGAACAGCTGCAGGATCTTCATCCACCCGAGTGCAGCCTTCCACTGCCAAAATGCAGACACAGTCAGACTCATAAAAACAACACAAAAAAACACCTATTTCAGAAAGCCAATGGACTTTGATTGATTCTGTCCTAGCCCCTATCCTCTTCTGTGCCTTCCCAGTATCTCTCTGTGATCTGTCCTGTTTTGTCTGGTCCTTTGATTGATTTTAAATTGCACTATTAATTGGTTAATTTTAAGAGTGTGCATTATTTCCCTATAATGCACGGTATATTTGCAGGTAGAATTCAATGGCTGTAGTTAATTTTTACATGTTTTGTTTGAGCTGCTTTCGAAAGCAGTCGATTTGAAAACATTATTGGTGTTGTTGAATTCGATTGTCATAAATAGCAAGCTAGGTCTGATGATTTGATTAGCTAAACTAGCAAGTCTGTTTGTTTGGTTACTACTAGTACTATACTGATGGTTTGGTTAGCTAAACTAGCAAGTCTGTTTGTTTGGTTACCATGATTACTACTAGCACTATAGCTATCTAGTAAACTTGCAAGCTACTTCAGTGAATGTTGAACACATTTCTGCTGGCAAATGAACACATATTTCTAGTGGCAAATATGTTCGATTAGAGACATGGCATAAAGGGATAATCAACTCGGGGCTCTATGCGTTCTCTGGAAAATAATGCACCTCCTTGGTGGAAGTTCAGTTCCACTCCGGCAGCGCGTCGTGGACACACCTTCCACATCGTTCCTTATTTTCCATAGAATAAATAGCGCCCCTCGTTGATCATCCCTTTATTATCTGTTTATATGAGGATATAAAGTAAGCTCTTGTCTCTGTCATATATATATATGCTTCCACAATATATTTGTTATTGTTTGTCTGTCTATGTCTGTGTGTGATAAAAAAAAAAAAGTGACATTAGGGACATGTTGTTAGCTCACACAAATATGTTTAAC